TTTTTTTTTTTTTTTTTTTGGCTATTAGAAAATTCGAATTTTGAAGAATTTAAAATTCATTATGATCATGGACTTGGTCGAGTGAAGACCTACTCCTAATAGCTCCGTAAAATTACTTAAAATTTTCCTAGACGATATTTATAACGATTTGTAAGTTATCATTATATTGAATGTATGATATTTGATATTTTACAACTATGAACACTAGAAAAACCAGAATTCATAGTACTGGTAGTAAACCTGAGCCTACTGAGCTCACTAAAGATAAGCATGTTGAAATTTCCGCCATACCTGTGGATACGTCACCTATGGATTCGTCACTAAATGCCTTGCGTGACGAACTACGTAGCTTTGCAGCTGACATTAATGAGGGAATAGCATCGCTTAAACAAGGCCAGCATGCACTATTAAATAGAATTGATGTGATTGAAAAAAAGGCAATCAGTCATGGAAGATTCGCTTGAATTTCACAGTAAAACCTACGATGAACTTAAAACTGCAACGGATAACTTACTTAAGAATTTCAAACAAATGGAAACTGACCTGAAATCTAAGCAAGATAAAATGGTGAACATTGAAGCTGAAATGCTGTGAATGGAAAGACATTCTAGAAGCTATAATTTCCGATTTGGGGAATTGAAGAGAGAGAAAGCGAAGATCCAAAAGCAACTTGTTCTGGATATATTAAAACATGACCTTAATTTAGATGAGATAACGATTGAAAATGCACACCGAACCGGTAAAATAAAGAAAGGTAAGATTCAACGCCAAAGACACATCATCGTGAAGTTCGTCTTCAGGACACAAAGAACCATCGCGATCCGCAAAGCCAAGGCCATGAAGGTAAAATTTTTTTACGTTAGGGAGGATTTGCCGGCTGCTGACATACAAAAAAAGAATGAACTTAAAGATGTAATGTCCAAAGCTTTCAAAGAAGGAAAACGACCATTGTTTAGAAATGGAAATCTTTATATCAATGGGAAACTCTATATTAAATGAATGCACATTAACATAAATTTGTCTTCACTATATATATATTAAAAATGTACTATATCTATTGTTTTTTGTACTAGGTCTTGGCAAATTTCTTGCCCTTGTTTTTCGAAAATAGATTATATTATTTCAAAATGCATTCCTTACATTGTTTATTCATTGAGCTATTCTTATTGTATATGATAGTACATACTTATTAAATTATGCAAGATGTTAAATGGTCATCATATTTATATTCTAGTATTATTATTTTCATTATCTTGTTATTGTATTCCTTTTCTCGACTGATATATATAGCGCAAATATGGTATGTTAAATATCTTAAAAATTATGTGATAAATGGCAAATAATGAGTTTATAAATCTACCTTTTCACGGGGTAGACTATTCTAATGAATTATTTAATGTTTCATTGATCTCCTGAAAGGTATAATCCTGTTTTTAACCCATTATTATATGATGACTTCAAATTTGATGAACAATCTGAAATGCTAGTTAATCACCTTAACATTAGATCATCCAAACTTGATTTGTGCAAATACTTTGATATTAATCAATTTAACCAACTTATATAGAATAAAAGCACTAATCAATTATCCCTTTTTCACCTCAATGTTAGAAGTGTGTCAAATAAACATGACAGATTGGAAGAGCTTTTTAATTACATCAACCTCAAATTTTCTATCATAGGTCTCTCTGAGACATGGTTAAACGACCAAAAAAATAATCCATTTTTAGAAGGATATAATTTTTTATCTTGTAATCGTATTGGTCGAACAGGAGGAGGGGTTGGATTATTCGTTAAAAATGAAATTAATTTCAAGTTAAGACATGATTTACTTTTACCAAAAGAAATATGTGATTCCCTCTTTATTGAAATTCTTAACAAAAGGAAAAAGAATAACATCATTGGCATTATCTATAAACCGCCGGATTCAAATATTGACAATTTTACTGCCATAATAAATGAACTGCTTTTAAAATTAAATTATGAAAATAAATTTTGTAATATTATGGGAGACTTCAATATAGAAGTTTCATAATCAAAATTTTATAAATAATTATTTAAATGGTATCTTATCAAACTCTTTCTTCCCTACGATATCTAAACCGACGAGAATTACACAAAATAATGCAACTCTTATTGATCATTTTTACACAAACCATATTAATTCTGAAATTGTATCAGGTGTTATCATTTCTGATATTTCTGATCATTTACCTATTTTTCAAATAATTGATTATGATTTATATATAGATAATGATACTTTTAATTACTCGTATTCTATTAAGGATATAGGAGCATTTAGCCAAGATCTCTCTCAATCAGATTGATCTAACCTTTATCATTCTAATTCATCTTTTGATTCAATTATAGACATATTTTCTACAAACAAAAACATCTATTTACTAAAGAAAAGACCCTAAAGAAAACAAAATGTAAACACCCATGGATGACACCCTCTCTTCTAAAATGTAGTAAACGTAAACATAAGCTTTATAAAATATTTATTAATTCCCAAAACAATTAAGATAATGTAAATTACAAAAAATATAACAACATCTTTACTGCTCTTTGTCGAATGTAAAAAAAGAAGTACTATGAAACAAGATTTAATCAAGTTAAATCTAATATTAAGAAGGTATGGGAAGTAATTAATTCTGTAAACCCTGGTAAAAAAAATAAAAAGATACCTAATGTTGTAAAAATTGAACAAGAGTATACTTACGATATAAATGCTATTTGCCGTTACTATAATGACTTCCTTTCAGAAATCGGCAAAACTGCATGTAATTCAATACCTAATAATTACATTGATCCACTTTCATATTTACCACCTCCCCCCAAAAATTCTTTTTTTATTAATCCGGTTTCTGAAACGGAAGTATTAAATATAATCAACGATTTCGATTCTAATAAAGGGTCGGGGCATGACTCTCTCATACCCTTTGTTCTTAAAAAAAATTGCTCTTGCAATTTTAAGCCACCTTACACACGCAATTAATTTATCTTTTACAACAGGTTCTGTACCTGACCATTTAAAAATACCTAAAGTTATTCCTGCATTTAAAAAAGTTGACTCACACTTACTAAATAACTACAGACCAATCTCCATTCTACCCATATTTTCAAAAATAATTGAGAAATTAATGCATACTCGTCTTTATAATTATTTTATTGAAAATCCTTTACCTAATAACCATCAATACGGGTTTCGCAAACATCATACCACCACACATTCCGTTTTAGAACTCATGAATTCTGTTAATAATGCGTTTGAAAATAATGAATTTTTATTGAGTACATTCCTTGATTTGTCAAAAGCTTTTGATCTCGTCAACCATGATATTCTAATTTCTAAACTTTTTCGTTATGGCATTAGAGGGGTCTCATTAGACTGGTTTACAAGTTATCTTAATAATAGAAAGCAGTATGTTCAAATTGGTAACTGTAAGTCGACATCAAGAAGTACTTTGTGTGGTGTACCACAGGGGTCCGTCCTAGGACCCTTATTATTTCTTATTTACGTTAATGACTTACCATTGGCTAGTGATATTTTACACACTGTTTCCTTTGCCGATGATACTACCATATTGTATTCTAGTAATAACTTTGATTTATTGTTTAACACATTTAATTCTGAATTAAGCAAGATTAGCAATTGGTTCATTACAAATAAATTATTAATTAACACAACTAAAACAAATTTCATTATATTTCACAGCCGTGGTGTTCGTCATAAACTTAAAACACAAAATATGTGATGTTTTCCCAAATGGCAAACAGCTTGATAGAAAAAGTGAAGTATCATTTCTTGGTGTTTTAGTTCATGAAAACTTAAATTGGTTTAGCCATACATTGGTATAATAAGCAAACTGAAACATTTTTTTCCTCTAAGTATTTTAGTTTCTTTATACAATTCGTTTATTTTGCCCCATTTATTATATTGCAACATCATTTGGGCCGCAGACTATCCCTCAAATTTACAAAGAATTCTTATATTACAAAAATGGGTTGTTCGGTTAATTACATCTTCGCCATTTAAAACTGAATCTGAACTTCTATTTAAAAAAACTTAACATCTTAAAAATTAGTGACCTTCATAAACTCCAGATTACTTATTTTATGTTTCAATATGTGAATAATTTAGTACAATTGAAATATCGCGGCAGACACGTTTTCTTTCGTACGATATTAATGGCCACGTAGGATGACACAGGTATGCGACATAGCGATGCTCTCTTTGGGCGTAGAGAGTGACCCGTTAATTTACCGCCTGAACCTAGAATCAATATACATTTTTTTTATAAGAACACATTTTATAAGAACACTGACTGAGGCCGATATCGCTTAAAAATTAAGAACACAAAGAACAAAATAAGGCTGAAGTAAATTGTCAAGTGACATTTTTATTTTAAATAGAAGAAACCAACAAATCTTTGCTACCTTATTTACAGTAGCTGTGACTATGTAATACCCTTTATCATATAGTATAGCAATATACTGCTGTAAAATAATATTTGTGTATGTTTGAAAAGTGTATAAAAATAAAAACAAAATAAGAACATTTTGAGCGTAAAATCGGCAAAAAAATCAGAACACTGAGAATGGGCAAAATTTTACTGGCTGTTATAAAAAAAAAAAGTGACTACTGGTCGTGCAACCAGTCGGTCGTGCAACTGGTGTCTCTACTAATTGTGAGGTGGTACAACATTTGCTTGACCAATGGTGCGACCGCATGACCCGCGACGTGCGACCATGCAAAAACGTAGGCCTACCCGCGATCGCTTAAAATTTGGAATTTGAGGGCAGAGCTGTAAGTATGACCATCGACTTTGCTGCGACGACTGAATTTGCTCTATGACTGGTTGCATGTTCTTTTGATGATTTTCCCTCGATTTCAATATTTTTTCGGTTGGGTCGTAATAGTCGCAGGCCAAGTTTGACTGAGCCTTTACAAAGGGATAATGTAGGCCTACTATAGGATTGCAACAACTGAACGCTCTTGTAAAAATGGATTAGGCCAAGGAATGTATTAAGATATCTCTCATTAAACAGTCAAAAAGATATAGTTGTCTTATATATGGTAGCTATTGTGATTTGGTAGGCCTAATTCCAAATTAACAGTTAGACTTTCTGCATTGGTAAAAATCCGTAAAATGTTGACATATAGATAGGCAATTACTGTATATTTAGGGTATTGAGCCATCATTCTTTTCTTGCGATTCTTGTTTCCTCAGCAAAAGGGGCAAATCTTTGTCCGGTTTACCGTCGGCTTTGGACCAATCTTGTATTTCGCCACTTCCAAAAATCAAAAACGCTAACAGTCCAATTGTTTGCACTCCCGATACAATCCAAAATGCATTTCTCCATTGGTATATTGTTTCCTGAAAGAAAACGATTTGTTTGAAAAATTGAAGTTTTTTTCCCATTTGACTGATTAACTGATTAATAAATTAATTGACATTATTAATTGATTGACTAATTAATGTATTTATTAATTAATCGATTTATTGATCGATTACGTACGACCTACATAGATCGATCTATATTGACCGATTGCTTTGTTGATCAATGGATCAGTTAATCGGTCCGTCGATCTATAGGCATTTTGATGTAGGTAACAATTAGGCAAACAAAGTAGTCTGTTTTCCAAGACCGAAGGACCCAATAATCTCGGAAAAATTGTGGTCGGCTTTATTTTGATCAATTTTCTTCCATTAAACTCAAGATATCTGTACGGCTTTAAAAGACACTTGGCCATACACGATCAATTAATTTACCTTGGGTTAGAGTTGAAAATAATCCGACTAACCGACCTTGGTTTAAAATGCTCACTGTGCTTGTACACAAATTTGGTCTTATGATTGACTTACATTCTTGTTGGTCAAGGCTCCCAACACAGTTGGACTTATAAAACCAGAAACACTTGAAATTGAAAACATAAGTCCGATTATTAATCCGGAATGAATCGGTGCAATGTCCATTGGATTTGCTGAAGCTCCAGAATCGATGAATCCATACACCCCAAAAGCGATGGTCATTACAATGACAGAGAGCGTTACGTCATTACTAATATAACCAATGCTGACGAGTAAAATAGACGAAATTCCAAGAGCTGAGGGGGAAAAAGATAATTGTATGTGCATAAAATTGTTCTAAATCATCTAGAGTGTGGGTGTGAGGTGGGTGTATAAGTTACAGTATCCATTTTGTGTATTAATGTTATCTTGCGGATAATAGCCATTAGGCCTAATGGCTTTTGGAGAGTCAATAAATTGAATTGAATTGAAATGCTTACCCATAAACGTCATAATTTTTCTAGTCATAATGATACTAAGGATGTCACGAGAAATTAAAAAGTCTGCAAGAAATCCTCCAATGATGGTTGTAGAAAACATTAAAACGTTTGGCAATCCTGTTAGTAAACCAGTCTAAAGTAAGGCAAAACAATGTTATTTTTACTGGTGAATGTTTGATTTAAAAGATAAGACGTAATACAGGGAAGACTTAGAACTTACAGTTCGTATTTCAAAACCCAAAATGCGTTCGAAGAATATCGGAATATCTGCAAACAGTAGATAATATCCGTAATCCATTCCGCAACAGCAAATAATCAATGACCATACAGGTGGCGATTTTAATATGTCTATAAATGGTACCTTGTATACCTGTGGAATTTAAACAAAGTTATAGTGTTTAAATTAACATAATATTCATGATGCCACATGTAATGTGCTTTTATATTTTGTTTGTGTATGTGTTTCATTTTCACTTCTCCTTTCCTTTGATTGAGAAGATGATGATTTTGAATCCTTTTCAAATGTTGGTATCCAACGATGGTCAGTTGCTTCATATGTTTCTACAATACACCATCCGAAACACCACATGATGCCACATAAACCTGACGATAAAACATAATTTCATAATAATCAGTGTACCCTGAATTGATAACACAAACAATATCACTTGAAATCAATAATTGCAGTAAAATCCCTCCACTTTGAGACCAACTGGGGTGGACTCCTATTAGAGGGTTAGCTTTGTGTTAAAATATGGAAAATTGTTATTTGGTAAAGTCTTTAAAAAATTACTGAGGCGTAACTTAGATTTTTGGCAATCGGGGCAAGAATGAAAAATTCACCGGCTCCTTCCCAGTTCGGAGGTTCTTTGTTCTGAGCTTGTGAACATTTATATATTTTATACAATTCATATCCAGACTCATTTTAGCGGCCCTCAGTTCGGCGCCCGTCGAGTTCCCTGTTCTGCAACCTCTGACTTACGCCTCTAAAAATGGTTTAATATTATAAGGGTCTCGGAATTACGGAGGTCTCGAATTGGAGGGTATATTGTATATCTTACCAGATAAATAAAATGTAGATGGCCATCCGCCTAGAAAGGCTGAAGCACAAAGCCGAGCAGAGAGATAACCTGATACAATAGCACCGATATTCATACCTCCAGGACAAAAAATAGAATAATACAGTAAAAATATATGTTAACTCTTTAAAAAAAAACAAAAAAAACAAAAAAAACAAAAAAAAAACCTTTTATAAACATTCATTTTTATCTCTATAAATTTCAACTTATACAACTAATACTTATTTAATGTTTCATTAAAGGGTCCTCTGAGCAAAATCACAGAGGTCCGAAGTATCCTAAAATCGGTACAGTCACTGTACTCCCACTTGACTTTGTCTCCAAATTTTCTTTCTTAGATTATTATGTACGATTCCACTAAATTTTATGATGATTCATTCCTTAGTTTTTGCCTAATATAGGCCTAAGTAGGCCTAATATTGCTAACTGACGGACAGATCTGAGACAGAAAGGGATGCATATATAACCTAATTGGCCGAGATAACTACAGTTGTCTTACCTGAAACGGGGAACTGTTCCCTGCCTGAACTCAGCTGAACATAAGTACTACTCAGGGGCGGATGCAGATTTTTTTTAACGGGGGGGGGGGGGCACAACATATTCAAAATAGATAAGTGAGAGCACTAATTTCAATATATGCCTTGAAATTTTAAAATTTAGTGGCAAAACGGAGGAATGTTCTCCCTTCGCTCCCCTACTGGATCTACCCCTGCTACTACAGGCACGGATAGGTAGTGAAAATACAATTAATTGGCTACGTTAATAAAGCTCATTTAATTCAGGTCGCCCGGAACTAGCTTCTCCCACCTTGAGATCCCCGAAATGTAAATTTCAGGTTAGGCCTACTTACCAGATGAAGCAATTGATATCAATGAGCTTCGTTCGTCTGGTTCTGACACTTTTACAATAAGGTTGTATATTGATGGTAGAACGAGTCCCTGTGATAAAGTATGATCACATATGTTGCAAATTTAAGTGATATACAGTAGCAGTAAGTCAAATACTCAAGAGCTGCGTTCAAATAAATCTAATGCTATATTTAATACATAAGCCCAGTAGAATGTCTATTCGTTTTATCGTTTATTAGGCCAATGTTTCTTGATTAGTAAGTATGTGAATGTCCAAATAAGAATATCCAATAGTAACTTTGTAACAAACCAAAATGTAATATACATTTATATTTAATAAAGATAAATATTCCCCGTGATTTTTTAATTAATGTCAAATTCAAGTAATATAAATCTAGATTTAGTTATGTCAATTAATATTACCTGTCCTATTCCATCAAGTACTCTCGTTGAAATAAATAAACCCACGCTTAACTTAGCTGCAATCGGCGTTGCTAACATCATTACCGACGATATTAATAGGCCGAGAACTATAATACGTGAACCGCCATATTTTCCCACCAACCATCCTCCAAGAATAGGTGTAAAGCAATACCCGTAATAAAACGCCCCCAGAATGATTTGCTGTGTTTGCATGTCCCAGTCAAATTTTTCAATCTTTAAATATAATAAGTTGTTTTTTAGAAAATACCGAAAATAACGAAAGTTTATTCTGCCAATTAACATTGACATTTGACATATATGATTACATTCCTATAAACATTTGAATGAAACAAAATGGGAAGAACTTTTATTATCAGGGAATTCTAAAAATGTTCAAAAACAATATTGAATTTTTATTACAAAAACAAAAATCATATATGATTTATAATATATTGTAAATAATTGACTATTCCAGAGTTTCAATTAGGATGTGGTATTTAATAGCCAAGAATACGCACATGTCCCACACGCAAGTTTGCGTTCATTTACCTCCCACACCGTCTTATAATTTGTATCACAACTTAAGATAATACTCAGGGCCAGGGGATTAGCGGAGGTCTATTTTACAATACCCTACCACTGACAAGGAGCATCATGTGTTTATTTTAACAATAACGTTGTAGTCTAAATCAAGCAGAAATGAAAAAGCAGAATGATTGCAAACCGAATGGCATTACCCTTTCATCTTGTTCAAACAGTTCGATTGCAGACGAATTTGAAGCGGGTAATTGGCTTTGGTGCTTAGGTTTTACCATAGCTATGATAGCAATGCTTAAGTTCATGCGAAAGCCATACAGAAGCATTCTTGCTAAGCTACACATGACTGCAATAACATAGCGAATTGGTGATCGAGATGTTGAATCTAGAAAGAAGATAATAGAAAAATAATAATAGGTTAATAAATTTCATCATTTAAAACACGGGTTTTTTGATAGAATTAATATTAATAATAATGATTATAAATAATATTATGGTGGGGATGAATATAATAACGTACGGTATGAAACCTTTGATAATTACGTAATATACTATATTATTGGTGTGTTGAAATCATGAAACATACCCTGTGACTGCAGAATTGGTACATTTTCCGAATCTTTAGTTTTTTTATTTAACATCTGTCTGTAGAATATGGAGAGGAAATCATCGTCATTAATATTCTCATTATAAATATATATATAATTGCCATTAGACCTATATCATTCAAAAAAACTCTAATTAGCTAGTTAGTCCGTGTATTAAGTATCATGCGATTTACCTATCTTTCAATAGAATATATGGGCATGAATTAGTTTACCGTTGAAAAGTCTTAATATTAAACTGTACTGAATATTTCGTATCTAAACATCAAAACAGTATAAGGGTATAACCTTTAACTTGGTATTCCTACTTTGTTGAGATACAGAATACCCTAGCCGAATCTTTTATTATGAATAATAATGAGACTAAAATAGACCAAAATGGGCCAACTGACCGGAACGGCTAACCACTACAACACAATAATGGAGGATTACGGATATAAATAACTATTAAAAAGTGACATCAATTTCAATTCAATTTCATTTTATTTCAGATTTCTCCATAAAAACACATTACAAGAAAGAATAAAAAAACAATAAAGAACATAAAAATCCACATTTAAACAACACAGGGTTCAAATTCAGATAGGGCCTATGAAGTGACAAAATAGTATAGAAATCCTACAATATACTAAAATAACAGCACTAATTGTTCAAGTGTCTCATCAAGTTTATACTGCATACATTTTAGACTCATACATGCAAGATTACAGCATTTACAAGGGTATTGTTACTATTTATCATTCTAATCATGAAACCATAGCAAGTTTTTCAATATAATTCAAAGAAAGATGAAACATTTCTTGTTACAAACATCTGACTGGCACTACAGTGTCTAGGAAGCCCAGACATTTTCTAAAAGCATTATTGTAACACACCTGCAACTCCCTGATATTAACCTGAGTAAACTTAGCCCATAGGCTGGTGCAATAGATAGCGCTACAACAGGATTTAAACAGATTGCATTTAACCTCGTCAGAGCATGTTAGATTGGCGGCACAACATATGTATGAAAGAAGATCTGTATTAACGTCTAATCATAGACATCATTAAGATCATGAGAGTGTGTAATACATACTCCAAGTATTGAAATACACGCCATGTATCGGGATTCAATATTTCGACATTATGCCATCATCATTCCTGATGATGACATAACTAATGTTAAAATATTGAATCCCGACACGATGGCGTGCATTTCGATACTTGGAGTAGGTAAGGCCTACTATAAATCCCAATGGCCAATAATTACAAATGTTGCGTACAATATGGAAGTACAGACATAATGAATAAAAAATTCTGCAGAATGTAAATTCTTCTATTTTTCTCTGTTAGTTCTGACCAGTGGCGTACCTGCAGGTATGGGAAGTCGTTTTGCGCCGTCCCTCAAAAAATGGTTGTTTCCCCACCCAGGCATACTACTTAAAATTTCCCCAGCCCGTCTTGCGAATATTTCTAGATACGCTATTGGTGTAAGGGATCGAGGATTCATACGCACTTCCAAAAATGTTCTTAAGAATAATTTAGTATTCCTGACATTGGTAAAATAGACCTGTAATTGTCTAAATAATTAATAGGCCTAACGTCTTAACCGCATATACATTACAAAATGAACATAACACATACATACTGTACTTTGTTTTATCATGGAGGGATTCCTCCATAGTTATTGTTAGCCACAACTATAATATAATGTGTCTATATAACAAAATGAAGCAATAATGATATAAGCTATAACTCACTCAACAGTTGTTGTGAGGGTCAGACCTTAAAAAAGATTCAAAGCAGTAAGTCACTGAGCACCATAATACATTATAGTCATATTCATTATAAGGTCCAAGTGCAACAAACATTGACGCGACGCAGTATCAACTCAATAGAGGGCGGTCTGCATAACTATTGACGCGTTAACGATGGCCCTAATTCTTGTCAGTTGATCAAATTTTGTATAGGTTTGTTTGTGGCTCTGTTTTTATAGTTACTGTACATTGTACCACATACTGAACATCTACGTGGAATATGTATATGTGGAATAGTCCATTACTTTACCTAATTAAATAAATGGCATAAAACCTTTGAAAGCCGGAGACTGCTTTCCGGAATGAATGATTTTTCACCATTTCTCACCCCGTGTTTTATTGAAACTGTAGTTAATTCAATTTTAGATTCATCTATTTTGACTAAGATACTCAAAAAGGATAGAAAAAAAGTAAAAAGTTTATGGAAACATGGAGGAAAGAAACAGCTACAATTAAATATTCATTATCTAAATGCAAAGTAAACCATTTTGTTAACAGTATATTACACAAACGTATAATTATATCTTGGGGAAAATTGTAACAAAGAACGTAACAGAAACGGCAGCTAAATAAAACAAAAATTATTATGCTTTGACCCACTATACACCCTATATTGAAACTCAGATTAACTTTGGAACATACGATACCGGTAGTAAATTTATATTATTAACAGAACCATTCGCTGACGATTTCTATTCAGCAGTGGCGGTGCCAACAGCCCTATCGTATAAGACTTGTCGCACAAAAACAAAACAAAATTTTATTTATCTTTAATTTCGTTTTGTTTTTTGTTTTTGTTATTTTTTGGTATTTTTTGTTTAGTTTTGTTATTGTTTTGTTTTGTTCGTTTTTTTGTGAACTAGACGCACTTTTAATGAGTTTTCTTTGAAAAGGTGGTTCCGTAATCCGTGATACCCAATTCCGGCACAGTAGAATTTTTACACAGGCTCAATGGATATTCAAACTTTTGAACACATAATAAGAATGTTATTTTTTATATATAAGTCTAGCAGAAGACTAAAAAGTAAAGAAAACAAATATGTTTTTTAGCAGCAGTAACTGAAAATACTGCATAATATTTACCCCGCAAGGAATAACCTCTTCTATGACTCATTATAAGCAAATATCGGAATGAGACTACTAAATTTGAATAGGCTAATCAAAAGTTAAGTTTAATATAAGAACTTCTTTTCATTATAAGATCACCACAATATGTTTTGAAACAGTTTATGTTTTGGACAAACATATAAACCGCCTCTCTATATTCAAGTTTAATTTTTGAAATTAACATACTTAGGATGAAATAAGATGAAATTGAATCTAGGGAAGTACCATGAGCCTGCTTTGGAGTTCCAAAGTTTAAAATTCATTACATGGTTCTGAAATAACTGAAAATGAAATTCTGGTCCAGTCCAGCCCCAGTGATATTCTCAATACACATTTAAATTTATGAATTGCTTGATTAAGTATCGTTGACAAGAGGTTGAACCAATATAGTGGGGTTAGGCCTTCGACCAGTAAGTCACCTAGGTAAAGAACCACCTTTTGTAGCAAACCCCCTTCTTAAATTTCCCAAATAAGTCCTCCAACTCAACTATTGCACTGCAGACCCACCTAGACAGACATTTTCAAACATATCTGCTTTTATAGCATTATTTAGACCCATAAAGCACAAAAATCCTCTTGCTTTGCGGGTTTCGCCGACCCCACCGGGGCTTCGACTGTGGACCTCACGTCCAGAAACACCCCCTTGGAAGAACCTGGCTACGGCCCTACAATGAGTCGTGTTGTCATGGGATTAATTTTGACCAAGACGAAAGGAACTCTATACCATTCCCAAAGTATTGCTGTTTACACTTGAATTAAAATATCAGGTCAGTTTAATCGAGGATAGGCCTACTCTAATTTTTGTTTATGTCAGCAATGTGTACAGTATTAGCACATGCTTTGCTAAATCTTCGCAGGTGCGAACTTGTGGAGAGTGGACCAAAGTGTCTGGGGGCCGCAAATTCCTGCTGGGGTAGAGCGTTTTTGATAATATGAGGTCTTAATTGATTGACTGATTGAATAAGAACAGTATTAAACGCTTTTTCAGTGACAGATACAGGAAATGAGTGCGGTAGTTGGGAGGGATTTTCACAAATGGGGGCTCATACCACCTCAGCCCTACCCGCTGATTCGCAATGTTTGTCATCACTTCAAGATGTCTACCGATTCGTGAAAAAGGCCTATATCAGGGTAGACCCACTAAATTCAAATAATGTGGACCAATTTTCTTCAACGTTGTTGCAATTTACTCAAAAACATGACTGATCTGGACAAATTTTCTAGAAAACTAACCCATTTTACGCAAAATATGAGACATCTGGACCCATTTTCTTAAACATTTACCCATTTTTACACAAAATAAGAGAAATCTGGACCCATTTTTAAAATGTAATGAAATTCTTTGTGCACCCAAAAGAAAAATTATGTGGGACTGTCCCAACTGTCCCACAATAGCTTGCTACGGCATTGAGGCCAATCATGGTGGTGGTTGAGGTAAGAAAATTTATGATTATGTTATGACACCTCTAAGTGGCTGGAAATGGCACTCTCAGACTTAAACGAAACGAAAAGTAGATGAGTTTGTACGCGGTAAGTCATTGACATGTTAGCGGCGGGGAAAAAAACACTCAAATTCTTCCAAAAGTTTATAAATGCAGTTTAAAATGTGTTTGTACGACAAATTAGAGGCAGTCCTAGTTGGAAACTGCTATGATTGGTCAAGCAGTTTTGGCGAATGGATTTCTGGAACGTGCGGGAGTGTCTTGAATTTTCTACCTCTGGAAATGTGGACCTTGGTAATTTAGGGGGAGGGGGTGCGTACGCACCCGTCACAACCCCCCGCCCCCACGCTTGCGGGCCTGGTAATTTGACCATGTGGAATGTTGCACAGTCTGTATGCCTGATTCTGTTTTTGTCTAAGTGACCAGGTACATGGCTAGTTTGACCAGGGTGTAATAGGCCAAGCCTTAGCAACAAAACAAAAACCGGTACAATAAAACTGTATAATGTGCAGTTTATTTCATTTACCAGGCATGATGATAATTATGTATAGTACAACTGTAAAAATCACATATATATTCTTCAAACCATGGAGGAATGAAAAGTACTTTCCTCCATGTTCAAATAAAATTATATATTTCCTGAACAGTCTATTCATGAAACATTATGTAATTGTTCTTAACAATCAATTTACATAATTTTCAGACTAGCATGGTTAACCTGTTGTTTTTTCGTTGGCAAAATTATTTCATGTCTCAACACCTAGAATTTATAGGAAAAAACTATACGTAGTGCTAGACAAACAAAAATTTCATTGAGCACACAAAAAGTTCATTAAGCCTTTTTTTTTCTCTCTTTCGTGGGTGCATCACGCCTTTGTTTTATTTCAATTATCACAGAATAATGTTATGCACATTTTGTAAATGATATGACTAAAAAAAATTAAATTAATACAACTTTTCATTGCTTTCTACCCAGTGTATTAATCTTAATTTTTTATATATATATATATATATATATTTTCTTTTTGTTCTGTATTTATGTTGAACCATCGTAGTTAACAAAAACGATACATATATATATATACACACATGTAAACACATATATAATTATATATACACATACTGAAATACAATTCCAATTCAATGATTTCCTTAACTTATCAATGCACTCTCACTAGGATATACGTTTAATATTTTTTTAATGTAATGCTTTCCTCCTTTGAGTACTAATACTCTAGTGTAATGTAATTAAGTAAACTACATACGATTTAAAATTATACATACAATTAAAATAGATATAAACAATAATAAAGGTAATAGAAAATGGCGTGAGGATAATACCACTAACGTAAACAAACTACCCCATGTATGCTTAGTTATTGATTACCTCCCTTTTCCGTTTTATTTTTTTATATTTTTTTCAATATATATATTATTTAAAATTTTCTGATTTACTATAAGACCTGAATATGGTTAAGGTTTATGAATTAGTGTTGGGTAGAGAGGCTATAAACCTATACTATGATAGGCTATATTATGAAATGATTGTGGAAGAATGACAAGGTTAAAATTATAGCACATAATGATAATAAAATGGAAAACCGTAACACTGTGCAAGTCCAAGACTATCGGTGTATCTTGACTCTGTGTATGGAGATGCATCATACTCACATTTTTCTCTCAAAATTTTACCTCCAATGCTTATACCATGATTTTTATTTATTTCTTTTAATACCACCAAGTTTGTTCAATTAAAAAAAAAAAACAATGATCGATGAAACCACTTAAACATATACAAACGAACCTTTGTCGAGGGTGGTGTTTAAATGTTATATTATGTTTATTAATGGAATGGAAAAACATTTTTCTAACAAAAAATAAAAATTTTAACCAATATGGTTCTATATTCTTGCATTAAAATAACATGTGTTCTTCATTTTTAAGTCGTTTTTAGTAATCACATAAATTTGTAGGGACAGATTCCATAATTACCTGAATTGCACATGTCTGTCTGTGTGTCGGTCGGTCTGTCTGAGTGTCTGTCTGTCTGTGGTGTGTCTCCTTCGGGGCGCATAACTCAAAACCTACTGGATCGAATAACCTCAAACTTTCACACACTGACAATATTACATGTATATCTATTTGGTGCTGATCGGAAGTAAAATGCATATTTGATAACGTTATTTTTATATTTTTCTGTTGCAATTGACAAAAAACCGACTCGAGCGGATCAACCAAATGTCAAATTCTGACCGGCGGACTGGAAGCAGTCCGGACGGCCTACAAATAATAAATTTGAATTGAATTAATGTGTTCCCGATGAAGAGGCGAGATCGAGATCTTATACCTCCACATATGCCCGACCATTAAAGTAACTACACATGATGGCAAAAAATACTGTAATAGTTTCAGGCCCACACCGTTTACTGGCGTAGCCACAAAAATGTAGATGAATGGATGTACGCATTCAAGAAATTTGTGGATTTCGCAAACTGGGACGAAAGAAAGAAATACACTGACGTAAAAAACATGCTACAAGACAAGATCCCACATTCGATTTTAGTGGTTTGAAGTAACCAAAGCACAGAAAATCAGATTACATAGGCCGCTTTCGAGCAACACACGTCTATTACATTCCGTGTATATGACAGGTAAACGCACGGCCTTACACTATGCGTGGTACCCGTGTGCGAGCACAAACTCACCTTATCTAAACTGTGTAAAAATGTTACCCTGAGCTCTTTTTTGAGATAGCAAGGCAGTAATATATCCCTTTATGCCACACAATGTTTAAATTTCTAACCATGCTACCTGCATGTATCACTCTTATTCATTATTCTGTAAACATTCAGGTTCTACAACGAGTATTGTGTTTATGGTATATGTTCAGTATCAGCAGGTAGTTCTACTGCTTTCAAACATTATCACCCGATGATGCACATTTATATCGATGGTTTAAATGTTGAGAATGAAGCAAATCTCGCAGCTATATGCAATACACGAGAAGACGAAGAAGGGCCCACAGACAGGCTGTCGTGCAAGCTGCCCTCGCGTACCATTGACTCAACCCCGTTGAACGAAGATATTTGAGGCCACAAGTTTCAGCTTGGTTGGATGCAGCACCTGGGCAAGACGATCGTTTCTGGAAGGAAAATTTCTGAATGTCTCAGCCAGTTTTCAATATTTTAGGTGACATCCTAAGACACCACCTTCAGCAAGATGCTTTGAATGGCTTTCTGTACAGAAAGTTGTTGCACTGGCACTATATAGATTACCTACTCCACTGACCTAAGAACAATCGCTAATTAATTCAGAGTCGGAAGAACAACAGTTTGTGAATTAGTGCAGGAGATTTGTGTTGCCATGGTAGATATAATAATGCACCAATACATTGTGTGGTCAACAGGTAATGTCTTTGATGACAATACAAGAGTTTGAAGAAAAGCATGGCTTCCCGCAATGTGCTGGTGCAGTCAACTTGTGGATGAAGCACAAGTTATCAAGAAAGGCTCCGAGTTTGTGGTAAACTTTGGCCACCACTTTATTTGCAAAACTGCGGCATTGGAGAGACTGTGGCATGGTTGCATTGTGATAACTGTTGTACACAGAATAAGAATCAATTCATGATGTCGTATCTGATGTGGCGAGTAATGACTCGACGGCACAGAGAAATTACAATCAATTTGATGCTCACTGGTTATACTAAGTTTTTGCATGATGGTGCCTTTGGGCAGATAAAGCAAAGACTGAGGGCGACTAAGGTTGAGTCCATCCAGGAGATTGCTGACGTGTTATTAAGTCGAACAATATTAATATTGCACAGATCGTCACGAAAAAAGATCGAAGTGATGTTCCGATGAAACAGTTTGCCTGGAACCTGCTTTTAGGCAAGTGGTTTCGAGAAATTTCTGATATTGGAGAGTTCCATCACTTCCGATTCACGTGTATTCATGTTTGTATTTGTTCATTGTTACAGTATTGGAAAAGCAATATGCCACCTCACCTGAGGTTGAGATAAACATCAGGAGGCACAAAATATATGGTGTTCCAACAATTAAGAATGATGCCATGCATTGTCCATCCACCAGGCCTAACGATCGCTCGGCAGAATTGTTTGTTAAGGCATATCCGGTGCTATGTCCGATCAGAACTTCTAGATTTGGTATGCCTGGAACCGGGAGTTGTTTTAGCAGAGGAGGATGTCACTGAATGTAGGCGAACTGCAACTGAGCCTCCTAAAACGAAGCACAGGAAGACTACCAAGAAATAAATCAGTGACAGGATGAGGCCATCTGTGGTTGGTGGGAGGGGGAAAAAATCTATAAAAAATAAATTAAAAAAAAACAGCTTTTAATGCAGCCTGACATGATTATTCATTCATTTAAGTCTCTGAGCCCTTGTATTGAATGCAGACAGGATATATCAATTTTCATACTTTTATCTGCACATTAAAGTGGATTTTTTTATGCATACTGTACAACAACTAATTGAATCAATTGCACTTTAAAGTTATATACTATAAATTAATATCATGCCTGCATCAATATTCTCATCATGTGCTTATGGAATATCCCTTTCTACTACTTGACTCTCATTGTTGTTTGTGAAATACAATAGCATGAACAATAATTGTCTTTTTTTTTAGTTTTTGTGGCTTATAAATCTTGTATGAAAAAAAAAGGAATGCTGACGCAGCATTTAACGTGTGTTATGAATGACTTTATTTATAATCTCTTCTCTACAAATACTTCAACGTTTTTTCAATATGTTTATAAGGCTGCTATGGTGGGCTATTCAAGGCCTATGTCCTCATGTTGCTGGGCCATGCACAAAGCAGAGACTACTCAGACTGCAGTGATTGGTGCAAAGTGGTAAGGGGTGTTGATTAACCAAAGAATTACTTTGAAAACTATGTTATGGATGCCATAAAATCGATATATGGAAAAAAAGGAAAAGGAGCCACCAGTTGCAACACATGTAGGGGAGAGTGGGGTAACTGAACCACGGGGTAAGTGGTCCAAAGCTTAGGTTTTTATTCAATTATTCGTCTGCTACCCTCTATTTTGATCTTTGGTTATTTTGAACTTTGACAGAAACTACCTCTCTATCGATATCTCTTTCAATTATCACGTTGTATTAGTATTTTACACACCAATTTCTCGATTTTCCAAGTTTCATCCATCAGTTATCTGTCGCAAAATACATTCTTAGAAGCTTTTATTAAAGAAGGTAAGTTTAAAATAAATTATAACTACTGTAAAAATTATAAAATCGGGCTAGGCCTAGTTAATATTGTAGCCTACAAAAATGGAATCAGATGGTGTGTAATATGTCATGGGGCGCCATTGTTTAGACTTGCTTCGGGCTAAGGAATTTTCATCCAATTTTTTTTTTCAATAGATTTTTTTTAAGGATTGACAATACAAAATGGCGTCCACTGTGATATAGGCTGTGGTAAAATTGATATAAACTAACAAAATGATTAGATGAGCTTATAAAATTTATAACTATTAATATAAAACCTTGTGTAATAATGTGCAATTCATGTCATGAATGTTTTGTCATTTGTTAGCCCGCATTTTAGGTTTACTTTGTACCCAGTCTATTGCACCCCAAAAAAGTGAATTTCAAAATGGCTGCTGCCTACTAATAACAAGAGGCCAAATAATAAAATAGGTAATTTCTGCTATCTAATTTTAAAAATAAGGCCTGACTTGATGATTAATTTTACAAAATATGTATGAGAATTAGGTCTAGGAAATATATTTGTAATAAAATCATAAATATATAATTGATAATGTCAATAATGAGTGATAATAATTTTTTGGGGTAAGTGGTCCAATTGAATTTGGGGTAAGTGGTCCAACTAGATCACTTACCCCATTGGTCATTTTACCATATTAACTTTAAAAATTAGTGTGAATAATAGTTTATTATGTTGCTTACAATATCAATAAATTAATTTAATTAAAGTTTATGACATAATTTTAATATTAATTAATATAAATATTCATTTTTGTAATTTTTTTTTTACTCCGTATACAGATTTCAGCATGGTAAAAACCTATGTGCCTGCGAAACGCAGACCCCAAAATAAATGGGAGATGGATTCGATGACTAATGCTATAGAAGCTGTAAAAAGTGGTAAAATGAGTTGCTGTGAGGCAGCAAAGCAATATGCAGTATCTAAGACCACATTATTGAGGAGATGCCAAGGCAAAATAGCTGTCAGTAGTCCAGCATGCAGACCAACAGTCCTGAGTAAGGAAAGTGAATCTAGGCTGGCACAATGGTGTGTAGAAAGAGAGGTGTAACTCCTGACCAGTTATGTGCAATGGCCTATCAGATAGCTGAAGAAAGTGGAAAGCCTCATCATTTCAGCAGTAAAACTAAGAAAGCTGGTTACGATTGGTTAAAGGGCTTCCAAAAGCGGAATGCACATCTTTCAATAAGAAAGCCAGAAGCACTGTCTGCTCAGCGTGCAAAGTCTATGAATGAAGTAGCTGTTGGCCGGTATTTCAAGTTGTTGGGTGACATCCTTGATAAGCTCAACATCAAGGATAAAGTAGCTCCGATCTGGAATTGCGACGAATCTGGACTTTCCTCTGTTCATAGACCACCAAAAATTTTGGCCACAAAGGGGAAAAAGCAAGTACATTCCAAAACAAGTGGAGAACGGGGAATTAACACAATAGTATTGGCCTGCGCTAATGCAGCTGGTACGTTTATTCCGCCATTCATCATATACAAAGGTGCCCGACTACAAGCATCTCTCACTCGATTTGCACCACCTGGTACTCTCTTTGGATGTTCGCCTACATCATTCATTAATGGTGAACTATTCCATTTGTGGATGGAATTTTTTCTTAGGAATATCCCCCCGACTTGTCCAGTATTATTGTTGTTAGATGGCCATGCATCACACGTCACTGTGGAGACGATCCAACTAGCCAAAGACAATGGTGTGGAGATGTTGCACTTCCCTCCGCACACAACACATTGGCTACAGCCTCTTGATCGTTCATTCTTTGGACCTCTTAAGACTGCATATAACGAAGAGTGCACAGCCTTTATGGCAAGAAATCCCAGTAAGGTAGTTACACAACATGACTTCTCTGAGCTGTTTGGTAGAGCTTATTACCAAACAGCAACAGAACTAATTCAGTGAACGGCTTCAGAGGGACTGGAGTCTGTCCATTTAATCAAGGAGCAGTTCCTGATGGAGCTTACGCAGGGCATGGGCCCTTGCTACAACCGCAAATAGAAATGCTCACCCGTAGCACCAACTAACAGTGATGGAAATGACGTTGCTGTAGCATCAACATTACCTACAGCCAATGACCCCAGTGTAGCATCAACATCTGCTACAGCTAGCAACGCCACAGTAACACCAACGCCTGCTACACCATCAACATCGTCGGCCTCATCAGTCAGTGATGACCGACTAAGTAAGTTGTTAACAGTACCAACTGTCACGCCAAACTTGAACCCAAACAAGAAAAGACAATCAACAAAGTCTCGCGTATTAACAGAGGATGAGTTCCTTTAGAATTAAAAGAGAAAAGAGAACAACAAGAAAAGGAAGCGATGGAAAAACAAATGCGAAAAAATGAGCGGAAAAGGAAAGCAGATGAAAAACAAAGACTCACTGAAGAGAAACAAATGCAGAAAGCAGAGAAACAAATGCAGAAAGCAGAGAAAGCAAAAAAGAGTAAAAGAAAGACCAACAGACCTGTATCTCCTGTAAGCGATGATGATGATTATGATGATGATAATGATGATTATACATGCGCGAAATGTAATATGCCATATTTTGAAGACGAATCATGGACAGCTTGTAGATCTTGTAATACATGGTTCCATGATGATTGCACATCATGGAGGGGGGAAATGTATAAATTTATTTGTACAGACTGTGTTTCTAAATATGGGTATGATTTTGAATGAGCAAAGACTGTATGCTGTCAAGATATTACCCTTGTAACGCGCCTATAGAAGTAGGCCTAACCATTAAAGGCGATAGATTAATTTTTTGTGTCTCAACATTGTTGATTGTCTTTTCTTGTTTTGGGTTCAAGTTTGGCGTGACAAAAACAGTTGGTACTGTTAACAGCTTACTTAGTCGGTCAACACTGGCTGACGAGGCCGACGATGTTGATGGTGTAGCAGGCGTTGGTGTTACTGTGGCGTTGCTAGCTGTAGCAGATGTTGATGCTGGATTTGTATGAGTGGGACACTGGTCTTGATAGACGTTCTCCAGGGCTGCAGCAAGATAACCTGGCTGTATAGGTATGTTTGTAAATTTTGGCTTCATTATTTGAATTATAAAATATGTGTAAAAATATTACAACAATTTCAACATTATTTTCCAGTGCGTGGACATTCATTACATGCCTGCCGACAGGGCATTCGAAAAGTAGAGCAAATACTACAAAAAAGGAAACAATTCTTCTCCCCTTAGAAAATTATGTCACTTTTAATCAGGCTGGAAATGTTATGGAATTTGGTATTGACTGAAAAATGTTTCATAGCGGGCGTAAATGGAACAATTCCAAATTAGCTGTAAGTACAATAATATTTTTACGCTCTGCTGCATGCAAGTGTAAACAGTAGCCTAGCAATGGCCTAGGGCTTAATCTTTGGTAGTACTGCAGTAGATGCCTGCACTATACTCGGGCAGCACAGACTGTAATATGAATATCGGTGCAAGCTTAGCATATGATTAGGCATAGACGTTGCAAATTTATTAATAAACCAGAGAATGCACAAATATCAAATCTTGCGATATTTCACTTACAGACAATTAATTTTCCTACTGCTCTGGAGGATGAATTGGAAAAATATATTAAGACAATGGAAGTGATGATGTTTGATATTTGACCGAAAATGTGAGGGCCATGGCATTTCAGTTAGTGGAAGCTAACAATTTTCCAAGAAGTTTAAGGAGGGGCTGGCTGGAGCAAAAAAGTTCTACAGATACAAGACGCAACATCCGACAATGGACATGCGGTTACCAGAGATGAAGTCAGCAGCCCATAGATTTAACAGAAATGCAGTGGGGAAATGGTTTAATCTCTTGACCAAGCTTATAGACAAGCACAATTTCAGTGCTACAAACATCTACAATGTTGAAGAGACTGGGATGGCAACCGTTCCTGGCAAGCCATAAAAAATAGTTGCAACTCAAGGCAGGAAAGATAAGGCCAAAAAAAAATTGTTTGTTTGCCCTCCTCCATAATAATTCAAACTACAAAGCAAGTAATCAGCAAATTGAAGTCCTTAAAATCAAGGTATAATTCGATCTAGGATAAGAATAATTGAAGTGATGAGAGAAGGCACACATGGCCTTATTATGTGCTTTGTGACTGAATATGGGGAAACAGCCATCGTCTGAACCCATCAGTTTTGGATTACGTCTGTAGATGATGCCATTACGATATTTACTGTACTTCGCGTTTAGCACAATTTTCTAGAAACAACAACAATAAAGGAAGCCCTCAGTCAGTGATTTAAAATTTTGCAATAACGGACAAAATCTCCAACGGGGCTCTATGACTGTCTCGGTGTGCGTGATCCATTCATAAAAAAAGGCGTTATATTACAGCAATATTACCGCAATCTGGTTGGTACGAACGGTTTATAGCTTTTCGGTTTAGTTTTCAGTACATCCAACTGTACCAAAATCAGTTAAAAAAAACCTTCTGTTTCAATGTTTTTAAAACCTTATTTCTACTCTACTAATTCTATTACAATACACTTCCCATACAAACATACTGTTTGTTATGACCACCAAAAGCTGACTGAAAAACTTGTTGCTAAAGACCTAATATAATGCCAGTACTTAGGAGGGATGTACAGCATTTGTCCAGATTTTAAAACACATTCTGTATATGGTGCAGATGAGAACAAAGGATATGATTCTTGATCTACAGCCTCCACATCAACCTGAAGAATTAAAGAAAAGATATGTTTAGCAAAAGCAGCAATAGTATATTGACATAGTCACATGATCATTCACAGTTGTTACTGTAAATTACAAATGAAATGTACGATCAGTTTAAAACAAAACTTAGAAAAGTAACACTTTTTTACTGTTTCCAACGGTAATAAATCTCTTCACATTCCTTGCTATATTTTACACTGTACATCGCAACATCATGACATTCCGATATAACTCAATTTGGGAGACTGGAGGTGCGCTAGTGAAGAGCCTTTATACGCCGACATCATTTGATAAAGTCGATGCACAAAGAAAGAATTGACACAGGAATACTCAATTAATACTGGTACCAAAAAAGCCACTGTTTGCAGAATTTTTGGGTTCTTTTATGAACATTTGGGATAATTTGATAAAATTCGGGATATCAAGAAATTGCATAAAAATTTGGGGGACGCCTGATCAAATTGGGAGGGTTGGAAGGTATGCATTCCTTTGTTGCTAACCATCCCTATGTAAGGTGAGACTTTTTTAAACCTTGTTTAGTGCACCTGCTTCCACAAAAAAAAAAATGGAAATTTAATTTTTTTTAAATGGAAGTTTTTCTTTATTTTTATTACGCCTGCCACTGCCTGCAATCTCCATAAATAAGATACATATGTTTCTTTCTGATTATATAAATTTAAAGCATTTTAACATCCCATCACTACACTGCTTACATTATAAATTAAAATTTTATTCATATTTTTTCTCTGTCTGGATGTTTTTGGCAAAACTATTTGCTAATGTATGTAAGAAAACAAAATTTAATTTTTATTTTTTTCTCTACCCTTCTTTGATGATCTTTAAAAAAATAAGTTCACAAAACAAGGTATAAAAAAGTCTCTCCTAACCTAGTCTTAGTCCTATATTCACATCATAGTTCTCATGTTTTTATTAGGATTAATTTGGTTCAATTATTGGGTTCCGATAAACTGTGGCTAGTTGTAGAGATGGTCAAGCCTACATAATGCTTGGTAGGTACGTTCTAAGTGGTGTTACATGGTACAGTGAGGTAGTAACAAAGTACTCTAAAGGCCATACTAAACTAACCTGACTTGTGTTTTCCAGGATACACCCTGTGTGAGGATATAGCGCATCTGTATATTGTGGATCATACAAACGTACATATTTTTCGCCAACGACTTGAGCGAGGAAATTATGCTTTGGATCATAATGCAAAGGTGACACGGTACCTTCTGGCCCAAACCATGCGTTAATAACAGGCTCTTCATCCTCTGTCCCCTCTGAAAGGCAGCAATAGTCTGGTATACATATGTCAGATCTTAATTCAGGAATCTAACAAAATGAATATAAAGACATTCATTAAAATATTCCAGTAAATATACTACAAGAAAATAATGTTTAAATATGGGACTTGCTATGCCAAAAACAGCATCAGTGACCAAAACCAGAAAATTCATATTATCCACATTGCAAGCCTTAAAATGATACGGTTGGTCATTTTACTAGAATCAACTTACTATTGCCAAAGTTACGAGTAAAAGCATTACAGCTTCTCTGTACTACTGCCATGTTCTTACGATAAGAACTCAGTTTAACATTTAGCGACAGTACGGTGGGTTTGGAATGGCAAGCCTCCTATAAGAAAGAGTGGCATACCTGATCAAATAGTTGATGTTGGGCAAGATAACCAGTTTCACCTGGGCTCTGAAGAAGAACAAAGTATAAGTTATTTCACCCTTCACTCAAAAATACAATATTTTACGTATAATTTATAAAAGAGAACGACTAACAACAGAATTAAAATTAAATTGATTCTAGTTTTTAAAATTGCCTGTACATTTAAACTTCTCTGACAATCCTTAATTTTAGTAACTAAGATTAATTTTAGAGGTATAAATAATTTTAAAAAACCAATTATCTATTTATAAAATGTTGGAGTTTGGAGTTGGCTAAATTGCCATCACCTGTCAAGCTGGCCATGATACTACCAATCAAAAATTAAACCCATAATGTGAAGGACATTCATTTTTTTTAAATATACATGTGTAATTTCCCGGCAGAGGAGTTACTTTTTCATTTTCATATTTTTTTCATCAAGGGAGGAGCAAACATTTTCACCTTAGCCACAACCATGGTGATGGTGAGGCAGGTATGAACTCTAGACCCCACTAACTTTAAATCTTGTGTCTGTCAATTTACAAGATGGGGAGGGAGAGGCTCTACAGATTTGCCAGCTGCTAGTGCTATTTCCGGGTATGCAGAGGTGTTATATTTCCAAAATTTGCCCCATCCATGGTGGGGCTGAGGGGGGTATACACTCTATCCCGTGCTGGCTTTAAATCCAGGCATCCAGGTGCCAAAAAGTTGTTCACCAACCATGGTGGGGATGGGGTAAGTACACACTCAGACTCGAGAAATTTAATCCTGTATCCGTGGGATAGGGTAGTGAGTATGCAGTTTAAAAACCAAAATTGTTAGGTGCCCCACCCCACAAGTCTTACTGTAATGCCTGAGCCACTTCCAACATGCTTCCGACGGAATACAATGCACTTTGTCATTTGCATAATTTGATATACAAATTGATTTTCTTTCTTTTTCCTTTTTTATTCTCTTATATATTTATTACTTTTCTTTACGAGACATCTACCCTATGTAGATATATGGCTCAAGGGTAAGAGAAACATTTTTTTTGAGGCCAATAAACTTTAAAATACATAACTCACTTTTGCACAAATATAGCCATCGATGAATTGTGAAATAGTGATAAGAGTTTGAGACCAACTATCATCTGTATACCTTGAGCCCACTTCGATTGGTACTAGTCTTTCTCCAGCTACCTTCCTTAAATAATCTAAACTGAAAATAAGAAATCAATTAAGAATTTAAGATGCAAGACTGACAAACACAGTCACTGTGTTCTGAGTTGGCTCTGTGTTTTGGAATGTGTGTGGATGCTATGGTGTTGAGTCAAAGTGAACTGGCAGTGTGATATGGACTGGAGTAGTTTGTTGCAACAGGCATTTTTGTTAAAATGGAGAGGAAGCGACTGTGTTGAATTGAGGTGACTGTCTGTAATAAAATTCTGAATAAATTTTAGCCTGCATTTTGTTCAAATTTACAAAAAATAACAGCTTGTTTTTTAAGCTATAACATACCTCCACTTATTATTTGACATTGCCGGCCAATGATCCATCGCGCCATTAAATATTACTGGTTGATTGGAGTCCATGTAAAGTCGCTTAAAGGATTCCAGTGACAGACAATCAACCAGCTGAATTGGATGCTTGATAATAATGTTGTGCATCTTTTGCTTTTTTGTTTTAAATTCCTCATAATTCTAAGTTGGTAAAAAAAATGTATATAAATCCTCTAGAATATGTGGTAGTACAATTTTGAGATCTTAAGTCTTCCAAAAAACGGGATATAGAGAGATATATTAATCATGTGAGAGACTACTAATAAGATAACATGATGCACAGTCACGCGAATACAGTCAAGTGGACTGCAGAATCCAGGAATTCAGAATAGAGGGGCCCCAGTGAGCAGCTTTCACAGACAGAGAGGGTATAGACCACCTCAGTCCCACCGTGGTTGAAAATTCATGATTATGGCACAAATAAGTGAATCTGTCCTAGTGACATGTCTAAAATAAAAAATCATTACTTTCAAGTGATGTAGACATTTTGTGTTAGTGGCAGTCTTGAAAAAATTAAACTATCCATGATTTAATGGTTTAAACCAAAACCGAAAAATAATTTAGTCACTCAATTGAAACCAAAAGACAGTACTGTAATTATTCCCTTCTACGGTATTTAAATTTTAATAATTAATTAGTACAGCAATTGAAACATACAAAAGTAATAATACAGTTGTAGAATGCATTTTCATATTGTGCTAGTATAAATATATTTTTCAATCATACCTTGGAATCCTGAGGCTTGGGTTTGTCCTTTAAAAGATTGGTATGTATATAAGATGCTAGTCTGTTTAATATGTTGTCCATAATTGGAGCCCCCATTACTAGTCCAAGGTCACACACAGTTAAAGCATCCTATATTTAATTAAACAATATAAAAGTTGGATAATAATTTACATGATCTGTGATATGGTACACAGATTAGGTTTTGCAACATGTCATGACATTACATTAAGTTTAAAGTTCGAACAATTTCATCTGGTTTCTAGCGGGAAAGTTCTATTAAAGTGGAAAAATTCTTGCAGGTAAATCAACAAGAGTACTCCAGTATGTGACGTTCCGATACTTTGGCAACGAATCTTCATCGAACAATGACTGGATTGCTAGATGTTGACAACTCTGGAGGTTGTGGGCTGCCCTCTATATGAGTAGAGGTTTTCAATTTTTATTGCAGACAGTATAAACAATGAAGGGATATGAAAAACTTACTTGAGGTTTGCCTTGACCATGAGCTAGCATGGCACCAGCTTTAATCAGTGATACCAATGTATAGAGCTGTCTCCATGTAATAGTCACCTGACTCCAGTGACCTGTGTTTAACCTTTCCCATATAATATCAACAAGCTCATCACAAACTTCTTCAGCAAGTTTGTAGTCTTGGGAAAAGAATTTCTTAATACAAAGCTGGAAAAGTTGATAAATATCTGATCCAATACTGGCATCACAGATTTTATAAAGTTTTATTTCTTCATATGGGAAGAATGATGGCAGGTTTTCGGTCATGGTGGATTATCTTAAAATCAATTGATCAATTAATCGATTATATGGCGCCGCCATTCCAGCCACAGCATGTGGTATAGGTCTGAAAGATAAATTTTAAATAATTACTGATTAAAGAATTTTTAACATTACCAGATTTTCAGGTATAAGCCAACAACCTTCGCCAACCCACCTTATGCCAAATTTTATGTACTAAATAGCCGAGCAGTTAAGGCATGGGCAACAGAACCTACAGTCATAATATTGGCACGGGTTCGAGCAGCACACTAGCCTATGATTTTGATGGTGGAAGAAGTCTTCTAGAATAAGGACTATAAAAACGTAGGCCCAGTATACACAATTGGCTCATTTGCACTATAAAGAATCCAGGTACATCTTTCCAGAAAAGTAGGGGGTTACCCCAGTGTACTGGTCCATTCATTCCCTGTTGCCATGTAGCTATGGATCCTAAGGTCATTTGTTAATTCGTAAACATGGTTTCCCAAGAGTATAATGATTTGATTGAGCACATCAGCTGACTTTCACAAATACGTTGTGTTGAAAAATTGCATTTTGACTGGTCAGCCTTAAAATTTTAAGTTTTAAAAAAAGGGTGAAAAAAAACTTTTGTCAATAGAAATTGTATTTAGTTACTTTCAAGCCAATTATTATATGGAATTACAGGGCTATGTTTGATGTAAAAATTCTACCAACATTGACATGGAAGTGAAGTATGGGGTATGTCAAATTATATGGATATTGACAAAATTCATAATAGATTTTGTAAGTTCAATGTATGTGTTGGTGTAAGCAAAGGTGCACCAGATATGTAGCTGCATGCAACAGCAAAGATTTTCCCTTGAAATTTTCACTTTTGGAGAAAAACAGAGTTAAAGTTTGCATGTTCGGAACTTTGCAATTACTTGTTGTACCCTTTTGAAATTTTACAGGATTGTATATCTTTATAGACATTGTGATTATACTGTATGTGAATATTTAATTACCATTGTTTTGCCTCGGAAACATGTCAGGCTCGGTATTGATACAAGGAAGACATATTTTTTGAATTTATCATGTTTGGGGCAATCATATGCATTAGCCACCATTTCCATACGTCGCTGTAAGATTATTGATATAAAAACACCAATAACCATTTGATTTTGCCTTGCCAAACTCCATTAGCTCAAGTAGATTTTTGAATACCATTCCAAGGCAAAACAACGTATCTTTATTGTAGATATGTTGTTTTGCCCCATAATCTTGTAGTTACATTGTTCTGCCATGGAAACCACTAGATTTTAAGTTTTCTGCTTAAAGGTAGGTGGTGCTATCTCTAAAACGACGCATTATTGAGACCTGAAAGGTAATTCGGACGTGTTTAATATATAGTTATTCCAAATGACATTATGTCAAAGTCGACAAAAATGTCAGTTATGTTGTTTTACCTTGGGACGGCTGACCGGTAGTATGTAAGATTGTCAAAACCCAGTTTTCCAGATTGCCTAGACCATTGTGTATTCAAATAATAAATTGCGGCTTATTGTAGTTTCAAGATGCTTTATTTGTTTCCTGTCGGAAAATCAGTTGGTACATCACATCGCAAAAACAGAATGCAAGATTAATACAAAACAACACCAATAATATAATTATAATTAGGCCCTAAAACTTATTTGATATTTTGATTAAGAATTCTAATGGATTGGTATGAATGAGTTATCTATTTGTTCTACAGGTTTGTGATTTTAACCTTTACCCGAGGGTAGCTAAGTAAAAGATGCATTTAGTGGGTGGGAACTACTGTATCTGTTAAGATACTCTTTAGGTACTTCATCAACAATTTTAGTAATTTCACAGATATTACCTATTTAGCTGTTTTGTTGTAAAATTTTTCCAGCCTGAATAATGTTGTAATGTATTCCGTTGTAATAGATTTTCATAAATTACCAAACCATCGCCCCATAAAAAATAGTTATTAGTTTATCACCACTTCCCTAATCACTTTTGGGAGATTTTTTTTTTTTTTTCCAATCAACATACATTTTCATATTTGTATTTCAAACAGTCGTTTTTCCATCTTTTTTCACTTGAAAAGCTCAAGATTTCTTGCAAATTATGTTTACTGGTACAAAAAAAAAAAAAACATTATTTTTTAAATATAAATTTGATTCTAATCTTATGACTTTTTATGTATGTGTCCCTGACCATTGTTTTACTTGTGAACTGTAAAACTGTAAAATGAGGGCGGGGTTGGCAAAAAAAAAAAAAAAAAACTTCCCTCTCTCATCAGTTTTTATTCTTTGACAGGCAGTGGCATACCTAGAAGTCTTGAAATGGGGGGAGGGGGGACTGATTAGGGGGAGCGTGAAGGCTGTCTCTTATACACATCTAGATGTGTATAAGAGACAGGATCTGAGTTATTTGAAATAAAAATTAATCCGTGCTTAAGGGACGTTTCGCTAAGCCCTACCTCTTGGATATTGTTTCTTAGGTCCCTGGAACAACAGCGTAAATGTACGTAAACGTGTGTGTTTGTGGGAGAGCATGTGTGTGTTTGTAGGACGTGCGTGTTTTACTGGCCCTGTTTTGATTAGTCAAATATTAAGTGTGATCGACACTCCGGAAAAGTCCATTATTATGCACAAGATACCCCTTAAGGAGTGCAGCATTGATTGATTTTGTATCCAAAACTTGACGTGTCTTGCTATACCTGTATTTGCTGGCTCTCTTGCAAGAATTCATTTGACTATCATTTGACTTACAAATTTATACGCAAGTGGGTGGTATTCGGATTTCGTTTAATATTATCTGAGATTGAGAGAGGTCTTATTGGCTGTACAATGTCTGAACTGAAGATAAAAGGTTACTCTAAAGATAAATATATTACTATAAATTTGTATCTGAAATAACCAGAGTATCGTAGTGCATAACATGAGGCATTTTTGAAAGACAGTGAATTTTTTGCAATTATTTTGTTGTTACAAAATTAGGAAATAATTAGTTAATTAGTTTAATTAACTGTCTACTGTAGGAAAGGGGTTCTTTCCGTGGATTACAGTACTGCATAAGCTATTGATTATTAATAACCGGCCAGACATGGTACTACGTTTTACCTGGTGCTAACCATGAAAAATCAAAATTTGAGCACTCTATGAAATTTTACATTAACAATTTTTAGTAGCATGATAATAGCAAACAGTGCTCAGGTCACTCAAAAGAAAATGACACGTGAAACTAATAATAACCTAAAACTAGCTTGTCCAACATGCATACTCGTATAAAAAAATATATATATGTGGAGGTATAATTATATTATATTTATTATTTAAGTTTATTATATTCTTTAATCATTTTATTTTTGCAATCAATCAACATATTACAGTAACATTGAACTAAACAATAGGACAAAAAGATTGCAAAAAAGACTACGGTAGTAGCATTCTCTAATCCATTGTATGTTAAATACAGTAAAAATAATTTAAAAGAAAAAAATATTAATTATTTAAAAGATAAGTAGAGCATTCCTGATGATAAGTAGAGCATTCCTGATGATGACATAATTAATGTCGAAATATTGAATCCCAACACGATGGCGTGTATTTCAATACTTGGAGTATGTATTATACTTTCTTATAAGTAGAGCAGGTATATATAATCCTATGCAAGTAGAGCAATTATACAAAAATTTATTTTTAAAGAGTAAAAATATGTTGCATCAAACAAATTAACAATGAAAGCAATAAAATAAGCCGCTGTGCGTATAAGATACGTATGTTTTTTATATACACAGCTGCTGTGCGTACAAGATCCGTTCTGTCCCTTATAATTATATACACAGCCAGTGTGCGTATAAGATCTGTGAAGTCCATTATAAACAGGCTCTGCTGTACGTATAAGATCCGTTATATCTTTAATAAGATCCGTTGCCATTATATACACAGCCGTTGTGCCTATAGCCTTGTCCATAAAGGAAAAAGGGCCTAGCCTAGCCTCTAGGCCTACATTATTAATTATATTATTACACACATACCACAGTGGTGGTCCCAGAAATTTGCTGACAGTGACCAGGGAGTTGTTTATATAAACAACTCCCTCCTGCAGTGACTGGGTGACTTTTTTTTTCATAGTAGCAGCCTACTAGGCCTAGGCCTGCTGGGGCTAGCATGGGTATTCGGCTAGGATAGGTTAGGTTAGACAGGGAGGCTAGCCTAGGCTAAGGAGAGTTAGGCCTTGGCCTGGGCTCTGCTAGGCCTAGGCCTACAGCCTAACCTAGGCCTGGGGCCTAGCTAGGACTAGGCCTAGGTAGGCAGGGTAAGGCCTAGGCCCAATTTTAAATTGGAAATTTAATAAATGAAAAATAGTAATCACACAATGGTTAACAACATTCAGTTTCGGATCCTGACAATCTGAAGTGTGCTTGACCTAGGCCTACGTACAGTGCCAAATAACCAGGTATAGCCTAGGCCTTGGAAAAACAGGCTTCGGTCATGTTCGATCTCCATAACCGCGCTACGTCTGTTTGGAGTCTACTATTTCATTTCGGGTAGCTAGGGGGGAAAATGTATGAGGCACCAAGTGTAAATTTATTATTTAACACAATTATTTATATGTATGGTTTTTACTTCCAATTATATATAGGCCTAAATAACAGTTGAAGTTGAGTGCCATTATATCTAAATAATGACATCTTAGGAAGCATGGTTTATAAATAATTCGTTATGCAAATTACGAAGTAATAAATATTCACCAGTGCTCTAAAGTTACAATTAGGTCCTATTCACCTATCGAAAATGGCAAAGCAAGGTATGCAGCACATTATTGAATCCAGTGGTGGCGCCAATAATAAAAAATAAATAAATTTTAAAAAATAATTTAAAAAAATGTAAAATAAATAAATAAATTTTAAAAAAATTAAAAAAAATTAAAAAAAAAATATAATAATAATAATAATAGTTCAATGAATTTAAAATATTTTGCGTTCTGTTATGACAAATGCTTGTTTGGATAGCTTCATGGTGCTTGGAATACATCGCGATAGGGGAAGCAACCTCGACCTTGACTTGATTTCGTGCAAAATTTCCATAATGTAGAATTTCACTTTAAAGAAAGAGGATTTGTAAGGAAATTAGATGGTTACATTGCAAACTCTTTGTTTCTTGTGAATTAGTGGTGGTTAAGTGACGTTTGTCATGCACTGTATCATGCGCTATAGAAATGGAAGGCCATAATGTAATGGAAATGAACCTCTCTGGTATTGCCGACAGTACAATCAGCTGTCTCTTATACACATCTAGATGTGTATAAGAGACAGGATTTCGACGTTAGAAAACATAGCCTACATGAAGTCATATTATAGTAGCCCGATGCCTATCAAATAAGTAATAAAAATTCGCCATAATTCGTCAAATATCCGTGGCTGCCTGGAACCCACCGCAGTGGGATAAGCAAAAATTTAGTCTAATGAAACTTGTATCATCTTGATACCTTCCGACTAAAATATCACCGAAAAAATAAATAAGACAGTTGAATGACCAACAAAGACAACTGAAGACAATAGGTTGTCATTAGAAGTTATTTAGTATAACCTTATTCGGAAAATTAATCACAAAATCGAGTTGCCATCGAATTGGTGGTATATCGATTGAGTATTGCATTCATCTGGCCATGTAAGTCAGTGGCGTATCTAGATGTCTTTAAATGGGTGGGGGTGGGGCGCGAAGCTGAAGTTGGGGTAGGGGCTTGATGATCAGTTGAGGGACGCTAATTCGCAAAATAAGGTGATTTTAGGTGATGTTTTACTACTTGACCGTGATTTGAAACCAGTGTCAGTATAATAGGTAAGCATGTGGTTAACATAAGCAAGAATTTAGTCCAATAAAACTGTTTATAATCTTGATACCTTCCGACGAAATTTGACCCTACCAGCGTCACCACGGCGTCCCCACCGATCGATCTAACGTGACGTTGTTATGTGGGTGTTTTATAGATTATAGAGAATACTATATCACCGAAAAAATAGATAAAATGACAGTTAAATGACCAACAATGACAATTGAAGACAATAGTTCGTCTTCAGAAGTTATTTAGTATAACTTTATTCGGAAAATTAATCTCAAGATCGAATTGCCGTCCCCGGCGTTGTCAGTGACGTCGTATGATTTGTGTGCGATTTTTACCAATTAACCCTAAAGTAAAAAATAGTTGAGCCATGTAGTACCTTGGAAATCAACTCAGAAACCCGGTAGTTTGTTGATTGTTTATTGGTAGAGTCCTTTCGCTGCCAAGTTTTTTGGCAGTTGCGTCCCGTTGACATCCCCTTTTCAAATGTTAAAGAATAACCAACATAAATTTTAAGTATTAAAGTGCCATTCTCCAACTTTATCTTATGCAGCCATAAACATGACGGGGCTCAGGTGGATATGGTAATTTTCCTTGTTTTTATGTATGACATTGCCATTTTCCGGCATCAAAATTCCCCAATTTTTTACATTTTCTCACCTCCATGATGGGTACAGGTATTAGGCCTTCGTGGATATAGTAATTTTTGTTGTTTTTATGTATTTGCCATTTTCCTGCATCTAAAAGTCTCTAATTCTTAAAATTGTTTTACCTCAGACTCAACCATGGTGGGCTGAGATAGATGGATTAGAATTTTCATAAATTTTTAGTATCCGAGTGTTGTTTTGGGGCATCTATAAAGTCTCAAATTCTTGCAATTGACTCATCTGCGCCCCAAAACCATAGTGGGGCTCAGGTGGATATCGTAAATTTTGTACTATTAAAGTGCTTTTTTGTGCATCTAACGAGTCTCAACTTCTCACAATGTTCTCACCTGAGCCCCAACCATAGTGGGGCTTAGTTGAATATGGTAGTTTTTAGAATAGTAAGTACTTAAATTTCATTTTCGGGTACTTAATTAATTAATTGGGTTTTTTTTACTCAATTTGTCAAAAACATTATTATTTAATAGGTAATGTAAGTTCCATTTTGGGGCATCCAGTGGTATAAAATACTGAAATTTTTGCGTCACCGCCCACCACGATGGTACTGACGTGATGACATCAGCACCCCCTTCTTTAAAATATGGATACGCCACTTTGCTGACAACAATAGTTAAGACAAATATATTTCCATTCGTTTTGTTTTTCATGTAAATGTCTGATAGGTTATTACTTTAAAACAATGCTAAAAACACAGTGTCAATACGAACATTTACACGTGTAAGACTGAGCTGAGCGACTCCGAATTAAGGTGAAATTAGTAGTGGTTATGTGACGTTTGTCATGCACTGTATTATGAAATGGAAGACCATAATGTAATGGGAATGAACGTCTCTGGTATTGCCGACAGTACAATCAGTGTAAAATATAGGCTAGTGTGGATTTAAAAAATGTCCTAATGGCAATGTTCAAAATAAATGTAAATCAAATAAATATGACTGTTGGGGTGAGAGGGGATGTATCTTTGTAGTTAGGCAGTTATATACTGTCTTTATGTCTAAACAAACTTTAATTTTAACACCGGGTCTCCATTTTAAAAGCTCCTAAGAGTTTCGTGGAGGTCCTTTTCGTCGCTCTGTTTTTGAATATGTATGGTTGAATTTACTTTGTCATGAATTGCAAAGAACATGAATAAAGAAATAAAATGAAAAATGTAAAAAGTATGTCTATATGCGTACAACGACCAGATTATAGAATTTACTAATAGATCAATAACTTTCCAATGATAATCACATGAACTACATTACTCCAAAAATTTTATAAACAATAGCAGTATTGTACAAATAAATGGCATCATACCTTTTATGTTAATCATCTATTTATTTTGGCGCACATTGATCATACAGTGCTCCTATCATTCCTATCATTATCAAAATCGAACGCACAATGAACAGATCATAATTATGCCTATACAAAAAAAATTATTAGATCATTACTCCAGCCCGTATCAACAAAATTGGGAAATATTGATGCGGAAATTTAAAAAAATGTTTCTTTTTCTTGGCCGCATCATTTTTCAACAGCATAAAAAACAATGTAATTTTGTGATTGGAAATACGTTTTCTTTAAAAAACAATAAAAATTAAACCTGTTTTTATACAATATTTACAATATTCTTGCCAAATAAAAAAGCCCCTTCCTCATCTATTAAAAGAAGCAGTTGTTCTGATTTAAAAAAATAGTGATCTAATAATTTTTCCTATGTGCCCTAAATTGGCTATAATGGGACACAGTGATAAACTATAAATATCTTGTTTAATATTTTCAAAAAAAAATCCTATTCTTTTTCATTGTGTCCAATGGTTGCCAAATTGACTATAGTGGGACACAGTGATACCATAAATACAAATGTGCGTGACGATATTTTATTGCTTTAGAAATGTGATTTCAAAATGTATATTGAATCACGGATATTCAATATATTTTCACGACAGGTTGGGAAAAATACATATAGGCCCCCTAATTGATTCTCCTGACGCAAATCCAGGTATTGTCTATCGTCACGAAAATAACATTTACCATTCAATAATAGAACAGTCATCGGCCTACTTGCAGTGAATTGAATCTAAAATGTATTCATGATGTTATGATGATCTGAAGTGTTTAAAAACGTACACAATAATAGTTTAACCAACATTAATACCACAAACACAAATGTGCGTGACGATATCTTATTGCTTTAGAAATGTGATTTCAAAAAAGTAGTGCATCGTATACGTAAGGGCTTGTTTTGTTGTTTTTTTACTTGCAGCGTTTGGGAAATAGGTAATAGGTAAATTGTAATGAATATAATCAATAATATATAGCATCTAAAACCTATTATTATTGAAGGGTCCTTTTAAAGTTTAAATAGGATTTTTTTAAAGTTATATTTTTAGATCATTAGACTTATTGAACGAGCCCCAAGCCCCGGGCCCCAGTGCTGTGCACTGACTGCACTGTCCATACCTACGCCACTGGACCTAAGTATTATTAGTGGTTACATAACGTTTGCTATGCACTGTATCATGCGCTATAGAAGTGGAAGACCATTATAAGAGACAG